GTTGCACTTTTTTTGGGTGCACTTATCATATTTTAATTGTACTATACTAAGTGTATATTAAATGTGTTATTTTGGAACAACTTAAAGTATGTTAAGTGTCATTTTAGAAACACTTTAAGATAATTGCAATATATTTTAATATACTTAGTTGTGTTAAAATGGACCCATTTTAAGTACCTTTACTTTAATTTAAATATACTTTTTAAAATTTAACTACCCTTTTGTGCTATACTTGAAGAACAGTTTAAATATATTTTAAATGTGTTCCCTGAACATTTTTATTAGCATTTCAGGATATTACTAATTTATTACTAGTATACTCCAAGAGACACTATTAATATCTTGGGAAGCTGCTTTATGAAACCATTCAGTGTGAGAATAATTCATTATTAATGCATTAAAAATATCTTGCAAAATGCCTTTTTAGCATAATAATAAAAATCAGTAAAAAAAAGTATTCACACACACACATACAGACAACTAAAAAACTTTAATTTTGTGGACATTACATTACATTACATTAAAAAGTACAGCAGCATGTATCACATCTTGACCAAAATACCTTCAAATACAAATAAAATCAGTAAAATGATGATATATGATCAGTATTACTGAAAAGTACACTATATCAACATCCCATCATTAATGTTACCCATGGGGGTCCCTCATACGGTTCGGACTGTAGGCACGGCTCAGATGACCTCACGGCAAGCCGTCCCACTTCTGACACTATATGCGGCCAAAGGCGAGAGCAGTCACCCTACCCAGATTCAAACACAGGTCAACAGGGTACCAAACATGCTACTTTGACAGCAATGCCAAAGAGCCAGGCTCGTTGGTATAGCAGTCCAAGCACTTACTCAACTGTAGTGAAGGTACTCCGTCACAAGCATACAGTACAAATGGTGGAACCAAACTGAAACTGAAAAATGTCACAATCCTAATCCTTGGAGTTGAGTAGGACTTGTTACACTTTCTGTGACTACAGACACTATGGTGTTTGGAAAGTGCTTTATCACACAGCATCTGTGGAAGGGAAAAGAAAATATTTTGTCTATATCAAAGCAATATTACCTCTAATTAATTAACAACCATTGTCAGATTTTTTATTTAGTTTAAAGTTGCTGAAACAAACAATATGACATCATGTCCAACTGTTCTGATGCTAACTGTTTAGGTTCAGGTGCAGTGTTTCCCACAGAATGATGGCGTAAATGAGGCGGGGGCGGGGGCGACTTTAGCAGGTGATAAGCCAAATTTCGCTTGCCTGCCGAGAATTTCATGCACTTCCAAATACTGCTTTTAAACGCTATAATTTCCCTTTGTGGGGTAAATGATTCAAAATATTTCATGAACGTTTAGAGTAGTTTAGAGTTGTTGATGTTTTATTAGCTACAGTTAGTAGAAGCAGCATTCCTTGAGATTTAGCAATAAATATGTGGTGATAACTGCAGTTGCTCAATGAGCACAGCAAAGTGTCTGAAAAGGTCCTGTACAGGTGGATGCATAATTTGGCAGAACAGATGATGTAGGCTAATTTACCTGCCGATATTTTCGTTCACCTCTTTTCTCAGCATAAAAGGGCGTTACCACGCGCGAGGTGCATCTAATTCTCGGCAGGCAGGCAGAATTCGTCACAACACCTGGCGCTGCAAAACGTCACCGTGATACACCACGGGAGCAATGCAGTGGCAGGCGCAGTTCTGGCGCACACGGTTGTTTTTCTCTGGCTGCACAAAGTTGCAACCACCTTTTGCCTGATTATTGTTCTAAGCCCACAGTAAGCTCACGCAGTCTATTGTGTTTGTGATTGTGTTTGTGATTGTGTGTCTGACAGCGCTGTTTTTATACCCCGCCTCCGCAATCATCTCGAACGCACCTACTGACTACCAGTTATGAATAGCGTGCTATCTTCGACAGCTGTAGGCCCATTCTAAAGATAGCTAAAGATAACATAGCTATCCTTATTGGCTAGGCTCCTTACATGCTCGCTAATAACTTTTTTAAAGTGTGCAGTGGTGTTCATGATACCAACCACTCAATTCACAGACGGGTTGTTTGCATGCAGGAGAGAGAGAGGGAGCGACCGAGTGAGGGGAGCAAATATGCGCTGTGCAGCACTGCAATTAAAATGGGTCGCCAAATTTACTTGGGCGGCTGTTAATCTACCAGGGCGGCCCGCCCAAGTAAAGCCTATGTGTGGGAAACACTGAGGTGAAATGATTTTCCACAAGGGACCTGTCCCAGTAAATGCTCAGTTCTTCCAGTACAACATAATCAAAAACATTACATAAACACTACTGTGTACACATGTGTTTACTGTTTTCAAACAGAAACAAGTATAAGCACATTATGATTTAAAGTATGCATATTTCTATATGTGGCTGTTTGTTAAGTTAACAACATGTGCTGCTTCCTTCTAGGCCCCGTTACCTTTATGAAAGAGGTCTCTGATCTCAAGTAGCTATTAACCTGATTAAACTAAAATAAAAGAAAGAAAAGAAATGAAAAAAAAAATAATATGCTTTTGAAATATATATTTTAATGTATATTATACATATTTTAAAAAATATGTTTTAAAAATCATACTTCTGGAAATCAGAAACTGAAACATGTGGCAGTTACATAAATAATTACAATATTTTGCAGTAGCCTACACAATGAAGCATGTTTGGCATAAACATATTTTTAACCCATTAAAAGTGTAATTGTTTAACAATGTACTTCCACAAAGTACACCTAAATAGTATTTACTAAGAGTTAAATAAGTTTTAGTTTAGTTTATTTGTTTAGCACGTTTGGTACAAGTCCAGAACAATGCAAGGAGGGAACGAAGCCAGACTAGGCTTGTACAGAGTTCCACTCCTTTTCCCATATTAAGTCACGAGATATGCAGACTAAGCATCAAAGTAGAAGAAAAAAGAACAACAACAAAAAACAGAACACACAAGGGAAAAAAAATGAAAATAAAAATAAACAACAAGCGATAGAAAGCAATTCAATACAAACCAACAATACTTAGGAAAAAAACTACATAAAGGCATCAAGCTAGCAGTAGTAAACTCTTCAAATGCTTTTTAAAAGCTGAATAAGAGGACATTGATCGCAACGATGGACTTAAGTCACTCCAGAGCTTAGGACCTCTAAAAGAAATATTAAATTGATGTCTTGTAGTTCGTGTGATTGGTAAGACTAAGTTATTATTACTATGTCTAGTGTGAAATGAATGAACATGTGAGATAGGAATAAACAAATTCTGGAAAGAGTCTGGTAGATCTTGTTTCCTATATATAAACTTATGCATAAGTAAACATATTTGATAAATATTTACCTTATCAATAGGGAGAACTTTAAATTTATTATAAAGAGGGGCCGAAGGAGCGTATCTATTTGAATGTGAAATAAATCTGAGATATTTTTTCTGTATAACTAATAATTTCTTAAGGTGGGTAGGATAAGTAGCTGCCCAAACAATGTTGCAATAATTAATAAATGGAAACAAAAAACTATAATATAAGGTTAAAAATGCTGATGAATGAACCAAAGGACAAACCCTCCTCAATATGCCCAACATTTTAGCTGACCTCTTAGATACAAAATTGATATGGTTAGACCAATTAAGACCACTATCTATAATGACTCCTAAAAATCTGGTATGCTGAACCAATTCGATTTGAGTATTATTTATGAAGATCTTAGATAATTCAATTGGGTAATGTTTGTGAGTATTACAAAAAATCATAAAGTTACATTTTTTTATATTAAGAGTAAGTTTGTTCCATTGAAACCATTCCATAATATATGATAGTTCCTCGTTAACCATTTTTATTAGAATATTGAAGTCATGGTGCGAAGCTACAAGATTTGTATCATCAGCGAATAGAACTGGGAGGAGTTTAGTACAAGTCATAGGCATATCATTAATATAAATTAAAAATAAAAGAGGCCCCAAAATTGATCCTTGAGGGACCCCAATCTTAATTTGTGACTTCATTGATTCATAGCCTTCCAGGTAAACATATTGCTCTCTATTAGCTAAGTAGCTTCTAAACCATCTCAAGGCAACATCCTTCACTCCGTATCTACTAAGTTTAGCAATCAAGATATTGTGACTGACCGTATCAAATGCTTTACTCAAGTCCAGAAAGACTCCAAGAGCATATTTTTTATTGTCAAGAGCTGAAGAAATATAGTTTACGAGTTGAATAAGGGCATGCTCAGTAGAGTGTCGCTTCCGAAAACCATATTGATGTTTGTATAAAATATTATTAGCATCCAGGTGATTAAATAATCTCAAATAGACAAGTCTTTCTAAAATTTTCGATATACACGGGAGAATTGATATTGGCCTGTAATTACTAAAATCCTTGGAGTCACCGGTCTTGAAAATTGGTATAACCCTAGCAATCTTCAATTTTTGAGGGACAATTCCAGTTCTCAGAGACAGTGAGAGAATATGAGTAAGTGGTTTGATAATGTAGTCAATTGTCTCTTTAATAAGAAGACTTTTAATACCGTCATGACCATGGGCTGCATTCTTAAGTGATAAAATAATATTCCGAACCTCTTGAACTGTTGGTGGGTCAAAATTATAAAAAGAAGGATATTGACCTTTAATTAAGGAGCATGGGTGAATTTCCGAATCATTAATGTTAGACGCTAGATCAGAACCAACTGATATAAAGAAATCATTAAAACCATTAGCAATATCAACAGGGTTAGAGAGAACCCCCTTCTCACTGTTCATTACTACAGGGGCAGTAAATGGGGATTTAGAGCGGTTCAATAAATGATTAATGAGGTGCCATGTCGTCTTAATATTTCTAGAAGCTTGAACAAATTGATTTGAATAGTATGCTTTCTTTGCTTTTCTTACTAACGATGAGAATTGGTTTTTACATTTCTTATAAATTTCAACATTAATTAAAGAAGGACTAAATATCCGTTTCGAATGTTATCACTCGATTGAATGGGCGTTATCAGTGGTTATCAGCTCATATATAAGGGCCAGCAGGGGCCTGCTGCGCCTACTGGTAGGCTCAGAAGGCTGTTATCATCCATCCACATGGTTAATCACCGACAAATACAAGAGAAGACTCCAGATCCAATACCAGAGGAATCCAGCTCGCCGGTAATCGGAGGTCTACTGAATGACGCAGCGACGTCGCAATATTTCGCGCTTGATATTTTCAGGTAAGAACATTTAAATGATAAAACCGAGCATTTAAACCGAAATTAATTAGTCAATAAGGGAAAACAATACATAAAATGTGTTTTAATGTTGCGTGACATGAGTGTTGACATGAGATAAGCGTATTGCGATTATTTTGGCTAACGTTATATAGGCTAACGTTAGGCCCTATTACGTTACGTTATTAGCCCAACATTACGTTACTTACTTGCTTTATTTGAGCATTAACGTTGCTAATAAGTATGTTTTTACGTATGAAGCTAATGGGGAAATTTAGTTTCTAGTTAAACGCAAAGTTAGCCTGTAAAAATTACTTTTTCCACACTGTAAGGCTTATTGCATAATATTGTATGCTCGTTAACGCTTCAGTGAAGCCATAGGCCTAACCTTACTTTTATTGACTTATGAGTGAAATATTAAACCCATGACGTATTTTATGGCTGTTTGGGTACCTTGGGATCTTGACTAGAATGTAAAATAAAGTTTTGTGGGTTTGAAAAAAGCTTGGATGGATTTGATCCCACACGAGGTAGCTTACAATGACATTCATGCAAAAGACGAATATTAGGAATCTATTAGAAGTAAATATAGACTGTGGTGTCTGTGTGTGTCACATTTATTGCTGTCCTTGACATTGAACTTGAAAAAAAAGTCTATTTATCTATCTGTCTGCCTGCCTGTGTGTGTAACATTAATATATCTTTACCTAACTTTTTTGTCTCCCACAGCATCAATTTCCAGTGGATTGAAGGACTTCTGTGGTAGGCTAAGTTTGTTTTATTACTTCCATGCTCTATCTCTTTGTTGAACAATCTAAAATTTGGTTTTGGCCTTTTTAGAGAGAAGGGCCCGTTCACAAATCTGTCTTGTGCAAGTTTTTCTGTTTATGTTTTAGGTTGAAGATGGCCCAGAGAGGTAAGCCTTGCAGTTGCTAATCTAGAAGCATTAGGCAAGTGTGTCTGAGAACGATGGTATGATCTGCAACACTGTCTTTTTTTATTACTGATTTATAACTGACTAGATTTTTCTTTCTTTGTTGTTATTCAACAAGAGAGAACTCCCATTAATGGGAATCAAAAGGAAACCCTGAAATCCTTTTTTACGAATGGAATGACACGAGTTGGGTCAAAATTAATTCCAAGTGCTGCATCTGCTACTGGTTTGGACACCAGTGTCATAGAAGTAAGTTTTACTTTAGTGCCACACTAACAAACAACATGTCAAATAAATATATCATTCTGCTGCACTGCTTGTAAAAATGAAGTATTTTGTTAAAATACTGTTTAATTTGTGTAATACTCTATCGTTATTTTTTGTTTTTGTTTTTCAGAACTGGATCGGTAATTACAAAAGATCACAAATTTCAAAACCTTTGTCTGAACCCCGTCAATCAAAGGCAAAAGTTCACGTCAGAGAGCTGTCGCCTTACAATCTTTTTTGTAGGGACATATTCAAAAACAAAGGTGAGAGACAAAATTGAACGGCTTCTTTTAATTGTTATACTAAATGGTTTGTTTTTGTACATAGTGGCCCTGTTGACATCAGGGGTTTACAAAGGTCATGAAACAGATTTTCAAGATAGTATTTGGCAAGTACTTCACTCACGCAAGTTGCATTCATCAACGTAAGACTGCTGTGTGTATTGAAAAGAATCATCAGGTCATCTACTTTACATGTTATCTTGTTTTTACAGAGTTGTTACAGAGAAATGGGTTTCACAACCCAAGTAAACCAGTGTGTTGGACAGATTGTCGTTGTATGAATTTACTTTAAAAAAGAGATGCTGAATCTAAAGTGTTAAGTTTTCTGTGCATCTATTTTTTCCTCAGGCACAATGAATGACATTAAGGGCAGGTGGGCCACATTGGGGGAAGATGAAAAGAATAAATACTTTCAAGAGGCAGCAGCACTGAGGGCACATGGGCAGACACAGGACCTTAGCCCAGAGATGAGGGATGCCCGAATTAAAATGCACCTTAAGAAGCTGAAGTTAGAGGTTTGGAAAATGGCTTCATTTGCTAGGCATTTGTGGTATTATTTTAGTATTAGATGGAAGGATGATCGACAGCAATTGTGATGCGAGCAGAACATTGTGACAGACAACTGGATTGTTGATTTGTAGATTTTTTTCATAATTTCAAATGAATTCATCCCAAATAAATATTCCAGCTGATTGTTGTTTACATGGCTATCAACATCAAATATTCTCACTTTGAAGAACACCTCTCAAACTACATTCCTACTGGTTGGGCTAGTCTATTCACATCAATGTGGTCAATTGAAGCATTAGTAGTCACAAATGGCTATGAGTCAAAATTATTGAATTTGGACTCTATGTAAACAACTAATTTATAGTTAATGTACCCTGGGTGGTCCTTGACCACTTATTTGCCACATGTGACAACACTGTTTTCATATATTTCCAAGCCCTGTTATGAGTTTTTTCTTCAGTGTGTGTTGAATTTTTAAAAGTAGGTTTTGTGTTTAATCAACTATTTACTATTTTTGTGGTTGTCGTCTTCTATTGTAAAGGTGTCCAAGCTTGAGGATTTGGGTGTGGAAACAGCCATTCTATCATTTGACCGCCAAAAGTCCTCATTAGAGGTGTTTGAACTGAGCAGCAAAGGAGCCACTGATTTCCTTGATACAACGGAGACAGTGAACAACTTCGCACTGCATTTCAAAGGTATTGGTTATATAAAAATCCACAGAAATGGACTCAGGCCTGTAATAGTGCAAATATACATAATACAGTTTTATGAAATTATTGTTGTCTGTTGTTACATCTGTAGCCAGCTCCTCACCCGCAACACCCAGTACCAGAGAACATGTCAGTGTTCTGGTAGGAAAAGTGCAAGATCTATTCAACCAAAAATATAGTAAGCATAAGTTCAAATACTTTTAATCCCTTCATGAATCCATGGCATTATTATCAAATGAATAAATTATTTAATGTGCCCATCAACCATTAGGTTGACACCTTACCAAAATGTCTGTTTGCAGCCTGTACACTGGCTATCAACTAGAGGGGAGAGTCACAATTGTCCAACTGTGTAACATTGTGTAACGTGTGCATGCATGTTTGTGCCCGTGTATTTCAGAGGAGGCCGGAGGTACTGGGAGGCTTCCCTACCAGTCCCTGGTAAATCAGGGCATGACCATTAATGTAGCTGGACTGCCCACAAGTCTTACCCTCAGGAAGCCTTCCTTTTATGGAAGGAACCAATTGGTCGAAATTTTGAAAGCTGCAGAGGAGATTTCATTTGAAATAAGTAAGTGACATTACCATTACCAGTGTCTTTCTCCACTTGTGTTTTAGCAGACCATTTGGCTCTATGCAAAGTGGGGAAAATAAGTTAACTAAAGAATAATACTGGCCTACATGTAAGTCTTTGTATAGTTTTGGGGCATTGCATCTCTCTCTGTCCCTTCACCGCAACCGTTCAAGGCAGATGGCCGCCCACCCTGAGCCATGGTTCTGACGTATCTGCCTTTTAAAGGGGTCATTTGATGCGATTTCTTGTTTTTCTTTCTCTTTAGTGTGTTATGTTAGTCTGGGTTTCCCCATACTGCCTTCTGCAGCGCGATTTTATTCGCGCTGAAAGGCAGCATGGATACCATGGTCCAGATATTCGCCTCATTTAGGGAACCAATCACAGAACGGGGAGGGAGCAGCAAGACGATGACGACATCTATGCAACACACACAAGCAGTTTGTTTATATTCGGCAATAGTTTATATTTTGTTTTTATTCGGCAATAGTCGCTGAACGTTATTGTTTACACAAAAATATCTTACCCATCGTCTTCTTCCTTGTCTAATTTCTGTCGCTCTACATACGTCATCTGGTATAATTGAAATGATTGGCTATGAGCTACGTACAGGCGCATTTGATAGACATTCTTAGCACCCAATAAACGGCGCCGGGCATTCGTAAACCACGCCTCAAATACGAGAAAATGTGCATATGGTTCCCAGACCCAAGTCTCAACGAGAATTGGGTCTGGCGTTAGCCAGGCTAGTGTTATGTAGCTGTTTGTGCATGTATAAGATCTGCAGGGTTACAAAGATCAAAGTCTCAAACCCTAAAGAGATATTCTTTATAAAAGTGAAGGCTCAGCCACACCTTCCTAAAACACTTCGTTTCATTCACACCCCCTCATCTCTACGTCAGTGTGTGGGGGCAGAGTTCCATAACACCGCCCAAATGTATACGCAAAGAAGGCATAACTTTTATCCGCGCCGGCATGTCGTAAAGACGCTGTGTTTTTCGTTGCGAAAGCCCAACTACTTTGTTTGGCTTTCCAAAAGAGGACACAGTTAGAAAACAGTGGCTAAGCTTTATTTACAACACTGTTCCAGAACAGTACAACCCAAATATTCGACTGTGTGCTGCGCATTTTTCAGATGACTGTTTCTAGCACCTGGGAGAGCTCAGACTATGTCTTTGTCGTTTCAACTATAACAAATGCAATACTGATGCTTACCAATCTGATACATTCTGGTCCAGTCGCGCTGGCAACGTTGATCGATTAGCTTAGTCATCTGCATCATCCGGATCATATTCCGGCTCTAATTGATAAGGTAGGACTGACATTATAATCTCTCAATATTGCTTTGCTTTGGGAGCTGATGTTCCAGATATGGTAAGAAGTGTGATATTTCCATCAGGTGCTTAAGGTATTTGGGCCAATCACAATGCACTGGATTTCTGGCTAATCAGAGCACACAGCGCTTTTCTGAATGATGAGCTTTATTTAACCTAAAACCGCATAAATGCCTTGCATTAAACCAAATACACAAAATAATGTTATTTTTAGAACCATCATATGACCCCTTTATAAAGAAGTTTTTCCTTGCCTCCGTCACATACAGTAGTGCTTGTTCATGGTGGGAATTGGATTGGGTATTTGTTAACAATATTATAAAGAGTATGGTCTAGACCTACCGTACTCTGTTTGTAAAGTGCTGTGAGAGAACTTTTGTTATGAATTGGCGCTATATAAATAAAATTGAATTGAAACAGATTCAGGTTATAGATTCTGTATGTGTCTTTGACAGTTTATAAGGGATGTGACACTATTTCTCAGCTTTATCATTATCCTGAATATCCTATAGATGTTTAGTTAAATATGACTAGTGACTGTGGCCCTTGGCAATGGTTTTCATCTTTTTCATGCTCATCAAACTATTCACTAATTAAATTATATGTATATAATTCCTCCGAATTACATTCCTTCAGTGATATATTCACTGCTGTGTGATTCATTATTTTCCTCCAGGACTATTGCAGGAAGGCCAATTATTTGTTAAGCTCATGCTACATAAGGTTTTTTCTGTCTTTCTTTTTTCTCTAAAAATATCAATCAGATGCAGAACAATCCAACCCCACTGACTTGGGAGAGGGGATGTCAGAGCACATGGATGCAGAAGGTATGCTGAGTTGTTTTTATTTTATCTTTAAATAAATATATTACATTAAACTTAAGAAGCATAGTTAACTAGATATGTAACTGTGGTGATTACACAGCACATTTGACTACTGTATACATTATTGAAATAATACAATTAATCAAAAGATGAAATTTTCACCTTTGTGTAATGGTTTAATCTTTTCAAATCAACAGACACATCTGGCATGCAGATGAAGTCGGTGGAGGAAATTTTAGAGGCCATGTGTGAAAATGGTATTTCTTGTAATCATAATACATTTTACCAAATGTTACATAATACATTTACAATGTTACTGTTCTGAGAAGTCATCCATTGACATTTGACACAAAGAGAAAAGCTTACTTGTTTGAAAATTACAATTTATGGATACAATATTTATCCAGGTGACATTAAAAAGCATATATAAGATTGGTATTCTGATAATTTTACATTTTGATTTGGCTGTTGAGATTCAGATGCAAATAATGGTCTTTTTTTTTTTCAATCAATGATTTACTAGTTAACTATTGACAGTATAAATGCTGACAAATTGAATTATGAATTTGTAATTAAGATTAAAAATTTGTATTTAGAAAGTTATTATTTTGTTTTGTTTTATGTACTTTAGGTGCACAGCAGATGGAAGAGTCCTCAGAAACAGCCACTACTGTAGCCATCGTGATGACTGCAGATAAAGGTATCTTTCCACATTGTGGTTATTTTTATATAACAGGAAATGACTGTTATACCATATATATTGCCTTAAAGGATAATTCCGGTATTTAACACCTTGGGCCCTATTTTAACGATCTAAAACGCAAGTGTCAAAGCGCAAAGCGCAAGTAACTTTGTGGGCGGATCCAGGCGCTATTGCTATTTTCCCGGCGGGATAAATGCCATTTGCGCCTGGCGCAAATCTAAAAGGGGTTGGTCTGAAGTAGCTTCATTATTCATAGGTGTGGTTTGGGCGTAAAGTCAATAAACCAATCAGAGCGTCATCTCACATTCCCTTTAAGAGCAGGCGCACTTGTTCTAAAGCGGATTCCTATTATAACGGTGGATTTGCCTGGCGCGCGCCAGGAGCGGTTCACAGCTGAGGAGACTGACGTTCTCGTCAGGGCCGTAAAACACAGAGAAGTGACATTGGGGATGGAGAAACCCACCCAAATTAACTTCGGTTAAACAGGCGTATGATTATTTGGGTAAATGTGTAAGCTAGATGTATGCTTTTATAATAAATTATCTATCTATCTATCGTAATAATGTTTGATTTGCAAAAATGAAAACTGCTGCTTAGATGAGAGAAAGTGTATGCGCGTTGTGCACACGCTACATTGATTATGGCCAAGCATGCGCCCTTAAAATAGCATAATGAACAACGCGCAACGCGCCATTGACTTTAGACTAGGTTTTTTCTGGTCAGTGGCGCAATTGTTTTATAGAACAGCAAAATAGCATGAGGGAAAGTTTGCGCCGGAACACGCCTCCTCTTTGCGCTGAACCGCCCCGGGGAGCGCAAGTGTATTTCTTAGTTAACCGACGTGTGTCTGTGGAGGGAAAAGTCCGCTTTGCGCGGCTGCAAAATAGGAATGATACATGCGTCGGTGTACAAAGTCAATTGCGCTGGGTGCAAGATAGGGCCCCTTGAGTTTATTTTGTCGTTTGTTTTGGATGATCTAGAGTGGTGGACTTAGAAATGTTGACGATGGGTCCTGTCTCGACTTTTTGACCATTTTAGAATAATCTAATGCTCTGACAGCATTAGACTGGCTTTCTATGGGCATGCACAAACATGTGCTTAAAACAACCCTTAACGTTCATTTTCAAAACTGTGCAACTCACCGAGTGGTTAGTGTTGTTCATTGATTATTGAAAACAAATATATCGGCGCAATGTATGCTTTCAATCCGTGTTATTTGCTATAGTGGAACTATTTTTTCAGATACCTCACAACCGCGTATAAACTTCTGCTCGATATTTGATATATTAGCGCAGTAATATCAACGAGCACTGAGTCCTTCAACAGAAATCATGCGATTTTACAAATTGGCAAATAAAACACGACAGAAACTGTATTTCGCTACGCTACTTGTTTTGGAACATCAACGAACACCACTAACCACTCGGTGAGTTGCACAGTTTTGAAAACGAACGTTAAGGGTTGTTTTAAGGACATGTTTGTGCATGCCCATAGACAGCCACTCTAAAGCGGTCAGAGGAGATTCTAAAATAGTCAAAAAGTCGAGACAGGACCCATCGTCAACATTTCTAAGTCCACCACTCTAGTTCATCTAAAACAAACGACAAAATAGACTCAAGGTGTTAAATACTGGAATTATCCTTTAAGTTACAAAATAACAAAATATAACAAATGAGCTCTTCCTCATAATAGACCTGGACAAGACTAGCAGCAGCCTGGATAAAAACAGGCAGTTTCAACAGATTACAATACTAAAATAAGAACAGATATGGAAACAGAAGCATAGACAAAAAAATTTAAAAGGGGTATAAAAACATTAGACTAACAAACTGTGACAAATTAGCCTCCAATCCTTTCATTTAGGATATAACAGCATTTAACTAGATTCACTTTTAAGTCCTACAAGGGGTAGATTCCAGGCAGAACGTGCAGAATACATACAGCGTTTTTGTATAAAAACATCTTGAGAGTGCAAAGGATGTTGTCCAGTACATTTCTTTAAAATACAAACACAGAGAAAGGAGGTAAGAACACCAGCAATTGCTCTTCTTTCTTGACCTGCTTTTATCTAATGATTGAGCATCAGCAATATCTGAGATGAATTGATGTGCAATACAAACATTTGCATTTGGCAACAGTTACAAATGAATAAGCTGCCTTTTATATGTTGCTTTGAATATGGTGATGAGTATTTCAACTAACTGGCTTGACTTCCAAAATATTTGTGTTTTTCCTTTGGTAGATGGAGACAATGTGTGCCGTGTCTGCCGTGTCCATTTTGATGACAAAAATAAGAATGCAAGAAAGAAGTGGCGTTCATGGTCACAGTGCACAGTGTGCCAATCATGGTCACACACTGCATGTGGTTTTAAAAAGAACATGTGCCTTCACTGCCAGTGTCAAAACACCATGCAAACACCCTGAACCTATGCTATTTACTGCATTCCAAAATGTATCCTGTTACTTTGAGTTGTTTTTACTGTGTTGACGGCCCCCAACCCATCCCTACAAATACACACACACTCATAATAAATACATACATACATGCACGTTTTAAAATGTATTAAGTCCCTTTCTCCTTTTTCATTAAAATATACTTGATGAACCTTGCTCCAAATTTATTGTAATGGTTACACCTCACTTGTAAGAAGAAAACTGATCTTTTTGTTTTCATTCACCCCCATTTTTATATTGTTGTCGTTTGTTGGCACCATCAATGTGGTCCCTTTTAAACTGGGCCATGTGGGGATCAATAAAGTTCTATTGTACTGAATTGAGTCTACGTGTTTGTTTGTTTATATATGAATCTGTTTCGTCATTGGTTCAGTAGGGCCGGGTTTAAGCAAGTTAAATATAATGGTTGCTATGGATGCTGTTATCACTGAAGCCACTTAGTTCGCATGACGTAGTTCCCTCAGAAGTATTTTCACACTCACTGTGTTATGCTTTTCTTTTAATGATTAACATTTAAGATAAAATGTGAAGTGTATAATTTTATCTGTGTTAAGGATATTAATTGTTTCTCCTTGGATTCTGAGAAATAAAGTTTATTGTCAGTTTATGCAAGGGAGTTCCACTTCTGTTTAGAGTTGTCTGCCATGGATAGACTACATTTCAATTCAAAGCACTGCCGGTCACTATGATATTATATTTTAGTCACAAATATCAATTATTTGAACACATAACCAAACATTTCTTTAAAAAAAAACAAACACTTTCTTTAGGTGAATACAAAAAAATAAATTGACATGCTTTAAAAAATGCTTTTTAAATGGCACATGAGTTTTGCTAACATGGACTGGGAAAACATTCATCCATCTTCTACTTGGAAACTTGGTTATAAACTTAAGTTGCCTGAGCAATGAATACACATTTTGAATAGTTAAATATGTGTAGTATTAGATTCTGTGTTTAAAAATGATAAGAGATACAGCAAGCAAATGTCACCTATTGGGTGGAAGGACCTATGTATAATGTAGACTACTCTTGTATTTGACAACCAATAGGCCTAATAATAGTCTACAAGTAGCCTAAGAGGAGATGACTACCCATCATGTAGACGATGGTCTTAGTCATTAATGGTATTTAACCATCATAACAGCATTAACATAAATAGATAGCCTATGTATTTAAGCCATGTGTGTCCCAAACATAAATGCAGTGTGTGTGTATACCAGATATTCCTCATGTTGTAGGGTTGTAAATCTGTTTACAGAGTCACAAACAAACAAACAAACAAACAAACAAACAAACAAAAAGCTTCATATAGGCTACTCCTATTGAGCCTTCAAAGTGCTCTCTAAAACTACACCAGGGATGGCTTGTGTACGTGAAATGAGAAAATTAAAACTTTGTTGTAGAGCTAAACCAATACATCGTTAGAAAGGTCTTGACCTAGAGAGTAATATTATGTATGTATTAAGATTCTACATGGCCCCTGTTTTGAAATACTGACCTTTGAAACGTCACCTTGGTGCATGTTTGAAGGCTTATAATTAAGCAATAAAAGGGGCTATCGACATGGGACCAACTGTTATAGAGAGACCTTGTCCTTAGTTATCATGTGAATATAGTCAACAATTTGGAACAATGTCAAGTATGGTTAAAAATAATTTTAACCTATTTAAAAATATAAAAATTAATTTAATTTAAAATCGGATTACGTAGATGTGTTTACAATCCCCCTAGACTCCTCATTGTACTCTCAACTAACTATTTACAACCTCCAATTCTAAGAAAAACACTAATATTTTAAAAACTACAATTCCCTATAGATACACAATGCAGCTTGATACGAATAAGCACTGCAGTTGTAGTTTTTCTGGTTTGCAAATTAGGGTTGTAAAAAGATATATCTACTGAATAAATCAAACATTTAGTACAGCCAAACTATTGATTACACTGTATCTAGATGATCTACGCTAAGAAAATGTAAATATGTTGATTTATTTAAGCTATTTTAGCCGAAACAGGATAACCCTTAATCCCGCCCACAACACAATGCACTTCCGTGTTTCTCATAATCGAAGGAGTATTGTTAAAAGTGTTAACCTTAAAATTAACATATCGTAATGTTGAGTTATCAAGTTGTGGTTTTTCTGTGGACAAATGTTGAATTAATTATTTTAAAAAGTGTCTGTGAATAAAATAATTTCGGGCGGAAGTACGTCATGCAAGCTGCGTGGTTTCAGTTATAGCGTCAATAGCAACCACCATAGCAACTAAATGCAAGAAAAACTAAATGTAATGTACATTAACTGAACTAAGAATGTGAAAATAAAATTTAAGCAGTCAATTGGAGGAAGAAGAGAAGAACCTACTGTACTGTTATGTAAGAAGAACCTACTGTATTGGAGGTGGCACACTGTCTGGTGGATTATGACTGTAAAACTATTCTGTCATTTATTAAGTAAATTACGGCTACTTTTCTTTTTATTTAATTTATGTGTGCTGTGAATAGGTGCTATGACAATGGTTGAAAACATGGCTATAACTCATTATGAGAAAGGTGTATTGTAGAGTCAATACACATGTATGTTCCCTTTTAGTTTTACAAACTTATAGTTGATTCAGAGGATTCAAGATTCCATACTTTATTGTCATTTCAACTCAGTTGAAGGGGATTTGGTTTGGTGAGCTCACTAAAAAGAAAACAAAGCTCTCACACATAACCACATTTGTACATTACAATAAATAAGTAATATCACAATATGGTAAACACACAATTTTGTACTCATATACTAGTGGCAATATGTGCTTAAATATAGTACCTAAGCTTTAAAATAGATCAGACCTATTAAAACAACACGTCTTTGTGAACTTTGTAAATACAGGCCCTGTCCTGTCATACCAGTGATTACATTCCTAGTTATCATGGTCATCCTCAGTGTCATCCTCATTATCACCATCATCATTGTATACTAGTGTCTGTATGCTTGACATGGGGAGGGCCTGACACAAGTAGGAGTTGTCTACAGGAACAATGTCTGGTACATGTGGGTGAAACATCACAGTGGCTTGATATCGTTTTCTTTCCAGCTGATGGAGACGTTGGGTGAGCGCAGCTTTTGCACCAGGCTGATCTGTGTCTTTGATGGCAGAGCACAGAAAGGCATGCTGCTGATGGAGGTGTTCAATTACAGTTCTCATTTCCTGATAAAGCATGCGCTTTTCCTCAGCTGCCCGAGTCTTCATATGTAAGGCATCAATCCCTCGCCTTTTTAGAGTCCTCGAAACATTATCTTCTTCAATCTGAAAGATAAGATAAATAAAAAACGCTATACCATGTTACCAGGTGGTTTCAAAAATGATGGGCAGGTAGTTGTGGTTGGTGAGCGGTTGTCAGATTGTTTCTTGAGTGACTGCTGTGTGGTTACTAGGGTTAGGTAATTATACTTACAGTGTCATCAAAGCAGAAGTAGACTTGCCAAGAGGGATCACATGCTTCCTGAAAATCAATTATTGTAGGGAAGATGCTCATCTGTGGTGGCCACTGAATGCAGTTGTATTCTTTTATTGCCTGTCTCAGTCTCTTGTTGGAGCTGGCAATCTGCTTGGAAAGTCTAATGGCAATGCCCTGCCCATCTGTAGCAAAGATAGGAAACACGCATGCAGATAAATTCATTTATTAGTGTGTGTTATGGTCCTTTTCAAAGTTGAACTTAATATCTTAATGTAGCCCATCTACGTATCCACAGCACTTTACCTGGATATTTTCTTTTCAGATGGAGGAGGACTGTTCTCTCCCTTGATTCGGTTCTAGCTTTGAAGATTAGTTGTCCTCTGAGCTCACAGTCAACATCTTTAAGGGTAGATTGGAAGTCTGAGTCAGATTCTTGCCATCTTCTCCCAATCCGGTGTTTTTTCTCTATGTTCAGCAGAGAGTCCTCAATTCTACAATGGTCAGAAAAGAAATATTATTAATAGTTATTTACACACTTGCTCAGAGAACAGTGACAGATTACTGCTTACTCTGTTTCACACTCCATGTACGACTCACGAGTCCCAGATCTATACATAAAAATAAAAAACACAGCACAAAAATTCATTAGGTACCAAGCAGAAAGCATTTCTGTGGTTCACCCCAGACCAAAGAGTGCATACGTTATTAGGGAGGCCTTGGTGATAATTGATTACTAATCACAACATATTCAATTACTGCAGTATTATAGCAACTCTTAATTTATAACCATTGTAACGGTTTCCTTCAAAGCTATGCTGTTACTGTAATCACACCTACTTCCATGCTGAAGCACATCAGCAGGGCACTGAAAGACAGCTGTAATTACCATATAGTTTTACATAAACACATTAAACTCTTACTTGAACTTGTAGAACTGAATCAGCTGGATGATGTAGTCCCTTTTCCATTTACAGACAGTGTCTGGAGAACAGATAAAGACATTACTACTGCTCTAATACATTGTTTCATTTCATGTAACTTCACATAGCTTGCAGGATTGTATTTCATTACTGTACACGGAAAGGTAAGTATAACATATTTGCAATACTCTTTGCTAATAATTTGCATGACCTTCATACAGTGTTCAAGACATTCACCCATTCACTTCAGTTGCTTACTTATTGGTCTCTGTTTCTGATGGGCTAGCTCCATCTCTCTTTTCTTCCATTTCTCCATGTCTCCCTCAGAAACCAACACTAGACAACAAAAATAACAGAAAACAAGACATCAATACTACATACTCCATGCAAAATGCGCTTGTAAACAGAATCTAAAATTCTCCGGTTTACAACTATTGTTTCCTGCTTCTTATGTGCATTGTTTACCTGGTGCGTCTCTGATGACAGATGAGATGTCTTCTTGAGCGAGAATTGATATTTTCTCTGCTCTGTCTAGTCTTTGCAGGAGCTGCATCTCTGCAAACACAGTTTAATTTACTTATGCTGACCAATTTGTGAGTGATCAGCTTCACTCCAGAAAATATAAAATGTATAAACAGTGAACCACCAGCACAGAATTTTGACAGGTTATGCTGCTGTGGACAAACCTAGGTCAGTTGATTTCCTCCGTCCATAATGCAAAAGGGCATCAGTCAACAGATCGAGGCGGTGAGATGGAGTCATCTCCTTTGTGACTCTGGCAAATCTTCGGAGAAAAGACCACAGCCTTTCCATTCCTTCCCCGTCTGTGAGTCCAAACCCATCGAGCCGCCTAGTGCTGTACTTGATCTGTGATTAAAGCAAAGTGGTAGAATAGATGCTGACACTGAGCATGATCGTACTTCAGTGTAAACTGCTTATAGTGATCACGGTTACAGTGATCAACCACTTATATGGATTCAAAAGCTTGGGACAGAATCATTGCTGTAGAAATGCTGTGTAAATAATTTGTTTATAGTAATCAAGTAGTCCGCTTAGTGTGTTTCATATTGTGTGTTGCTGTGCAAATGTGATGTTTTCCTCTACTCACACTGCTGTGGTCTATGGAGTTATTTTGCCCTCCTGTTCCTGCTCTGCTGTTTTTTTGGGACTTTTATGGTACATAATGATTGTCCTGGCTCTCTCACAGCAGCAGCTAGGCCTACTGCATGTTACTTGAGTGGAGTGTAATGCTTTCACCTTGACCATTCAGACAGGGCTTGGATCAGGAGAGGGCCTAGGTGTAGCTTATTTTATTTTATCTTTAAAGGAACCCTCCACCGTTTTTTCATATTAAACAATGTAATTTCCTTAACTAAGACGAGTTGATACATACCTCTCTCGTCTCAGTGCGTACGCTCAATCGCGCGGCGATACTTTGAGTCCAGTTCATTCATTAGGATCCAAACAGAGATGAAGTTAGAAACGACCAAACACCTCCACGTTTTCCCTATTTAAATATAGTTACACGAGTAGTTACACGACCAAGTATGGTGAGACAAAATAAAACGTGGCGTGGTGTTTTTTGTCGCTTTTAACTTCATCTCTGTTTGGATCCTAATGAATGAACTGGACACTCAAAGTATCGCCGCGCACCAGAGCAATTGAGCGCACGCACTGAGATGAGAGAGGTATGTATGTATCCACTTTTCCTTTAAGTCAGAAAAAATAGTGAAGCTGTTCATGTTATTACTTTATATGCATGTAATAATTATACAAATTAGATAGTAATCTGCATAAAACATAAAAACAAATTTGGTTATAACAATCATCCGCTTATAGTGATTTGGCCCAGACAGATGTGAGATAAGCGGTTTCCACTGTATTGTCCAACAGTGCATCTCTGAAACAAGTTTAGACAAACACCAGTTGGGAAAAATGCCAGATTAAAGATTACTTTTAGGCACATCTACTTAATTTCAGCTGTGCAGTTTATAGACAGGAAAATTGAGGGCAAACAGGGAGTGAATGATGTGTGACACAGGTCCTGATGTCTCTATAAAGCCAATAATTACCTGGCAGGGCAGTTTGTGTCCATAAACATGAAATGCTGGTATGGCCAAGGAGATGTTGTGTGGTATGCCCTCTCCTGATTTCTGATTGAACACAGTATAGCATAATTTTAAGTAAATGTGTCAAGGTCTTTTCTCAAAACAACAATTCAGTTTTACACAAAAAAGTACTTACATGCAAATGTGAGGCAACAACACAGGCAATGTCATAGACTACTCGCAGGTGTATGTTCTTGTCCTCACATCTTCGAAGTAGCTCATCGATGACATACAGGGGATAGGCTAATCTATTTCAACACAAATTTGAATAAGGACACTTTATACTGAGGAAAAGTAAAAATGAATTATACATTCTCCAGCATAGTGAAGATTATAGAATGGTGGTAAAGTTCAAATTTTGTAATGTTTTGGAATATACATTCCATAAGGTTCATATTTGGTGACTGGAAAAATTTGCATTAAAATATGGCTTATTATATGAATAGGTAGAATCAAACAGGGGAATTATCATTCTGGAACACAGGGTCAATAGTCAGAGATGTCATTACTGTGGCATTTACTTACCGTTCTCCTTGGCTCATGTTGACAAACATTAGGGGCATTTCATGACGACAAGAGGCTCCAAACACTCCTGTAACATCAAGTTTATTTGCTTGTTTTTGTGACCTCAGCACGTTGCCAGCCTTGAAGTTACTGCAGTCCTAAAGATTTAAGGAAAACATAGATTTATGGGAGGAATAATGATTAATTAAATATTTCATTAATATTTCATGGACTCAGTCCATGAAATTCTACAACTAAGACTAACCTCGTGAGGCTTTGAGCTGTCAAGATGTGATAGCAGGTATTCCTCTACATCCTTTTCATTAACAAACATGCGGGTTCCGTGTAATGGCTCAACCGCACTTGTACCTGAGCTGTGCTTCCTCACAAGGCCAAAGTTGGCATCCAATGTAACAATCATATCCCCATCCGCCTGGAAAACAAACACTTACAGTAATCCTGTATCTGCATCAGGTTTATACATTTATACGAATACAATTTTATTATATTTTTATACTTACAAAAATTGGTACTTTCCTGTTATCCGGACCCCACGATGGCCTACCCCTAACCCCGCCCCTAAACCTACCCGTCACTGGGGTTAAGACCAATCAGGGACGATGGCCTACCCCTAACCCCGCCCCTAAACCTACCCGTCACTAGGGTTAAGACCAATCAGGGATGACTATACGGACTATACGGGACTAATGCTGCATTCCAGGCAACCTGTAACCCGTGTTTTTCCAACCTTATACCCGTGAAAGTGTACTGGAACGGCAGTCAAACCCGTGAACTCGTACTAGATCGATGTACTACCAGTTACGAGTTGGAAAAATACGGGTTACAGGTTGCCTGGAACGCGGCATTAAAGAAACACGTGGGGTCCGGATAACAGGAAAGTACCCAAAAATTAACTAAGTTTTCAGATATCAATTCAATGCCATTAGGTCATCGAAAATGCAATCAGGTTAATCGAACAAGAACCACGCTGGAGCTAGAACCAACCTTTGGGCATGCTGGGCATATGGTCCCATCATCTAATTGTGGGCAAATATCTACCAAACTTCTTTGTCGGAAGTGGTGATGCCTAAAATGGGATATGGATTCTCCCACCAGGGCTCTGTAGAGTGTGTTAACCTAGGGTATAAGCAGCAGTCAGTGAAAACATTACTGTTTCCTATACTTACATCTGGTGATGGTGGTTCACTCAGAAGTTGTTATTTTGATAGAAAACTTTTAAGAATACTTTTGCATGCAAATGTACAATACTATATGGTTACATACTTTAAGTTGTGATAATTAATAATGCAGTACAATCAAGGAAGAATGTGTAATTTTCACAACCATATGGAATCGGTCTTCCATGAAAGTACAGTAATGGCGCTTTTCCACTACACACAGGACAATGGAGGAAAATCGAGTGTGTGCTGTTTTTGGATGTTTTTATTTTTGCTGTTTTTTATTCAGGAAACTCCCGTCTGGCACGTGCAATAATGACGCAGTGAATGGTGACGATTCTCTCTGACCAATCAGCAGTCTGCCACGTCACATTTTAGTATCACCTCAGCTCGCTTAGAACCTCGCCGGAGGTGGTACGAAAAAAAGTACCCGAAAGCAGGTACAGGTACAACTTTGACACAGTGGAAAACCAAACAAAGCCGAGCCGAGTCGAGTCGAGCCGAGGCGAGCTGGTACTGTGTAGTGGAAAAGCGCCATAACTGAAATTTTCACTTCACAGGCAAGATTTTAAACTGACCTCTGCAAGTGTGAGGTTGTTTTTCCAGCGCAGGGTGTTGCAAAAACCCTCAACAGAAACCTGACACTCCAGTGACAGACAAACAAAAAGCTCTAGCAGAGGTATGGAGAAGGCTGTGTGGGGCTTGTCGGCTGTTGCCGGCCAGAGACCATACCTGAGCAAAGTACAGGTTTCTGGTTCACATGCACACATATTGACTGTGACGGTGCAGAGCCGTCCTGCCAAATAAAAAGAGGGAAATATATATTAGAAAAAACATAAACAAGTACTACTATAGAGACTACCATATCAGCATAGACTAAATCACTTGAGTGTGTCACCTATAACACCATAAATCAGCAAACAACTTTTTTTTAAACAAAATTGTATCAGAAATTTGATTAATTCCTTATAGGAAATCATTACTACACATGTATAGGACCGAATTCCTTAACCTGTCAAGAAAATTAAATACATTAAGATTCTGTATCATGTAAAATGACAAACCTGTGCTGACAATGACCTTCATGTCCTTTGTGTACACAGCATGGGTGCTATGGCCTTCAGGTAAATATAGGAATAACCCCAGGGAGGATGGCTCATAGTAGACATTCTGTAAGAAAGATTGATAGCTCTAACAATCTTTTTAAAACTACAAACTTGTGACACTAACAGTTGATAATACATAATGCTAGAACAATTTGAAGTATCTAATAAATCTGTTGAAATTACTGTGAGTTTGTTGCCTGTGTGTATGACTGCATGGTATTGTTCTTACATTCCACTTATCAGAAAGATGCAGTGAATTTCTGTGAGTCCTCTTCAGACAACCCTCACAAAACACTGCAGTGCTGCTGCACTCAATGCACCTGTAATCAGCATGTTCTAGACAGACAACACACTGGGTAGCGATTGGTGCTGAACATTCAAATGACACCTTAAGCATGTCATCCTTGACTGCATCCCAGGCATGTAGCTCTCTCTTCTTTGCCTTACTGTATGCACTCTCAGAACAAGAACTACAGCTCGGTGCCACATCATCGGGTTCAGCCTGTTGAGATGTAATAGTCGGGTCGGTCTGTTTGGAGTTGGGCTGGGGAAGACCTTGACTAAGGTAAGAAACCTTTGCAGGGCCAACGATACACCTCCTCACCACCTTAATCTTCACGCTCCTGGAACGTGTGGTCTTAACTGTTTTTCCCATATCTGAAATCAAAATATTTGGCAATTATTACATAAAGCAAAGTGCAACCTGTACTTCTTATCACAGCCTAAAAGACAGAAACACATCAGTGAACATGGGATGCAGACAAGGGATATGTATTTGGTGCCATAGATATGTCAATAAAAGTAAGGTTAGGCCTATGGCTTCACTGAAGCGTTAACGAGCATACAATATTATGCAATAAGCCTTACAGTGTGGAAAAAGTAATTTTTACAGGCTAACTTTGCGTTTAACTAGAAACTAAATTTCCCCATTAGCTTCATACGTAAAAACATACTTATTAGCAACGTTAATGCTCAAATAAAGCAAGTAAGTAACGTAATGTTGGGCTAATAACGTAACGTAATAGGGCCTAACGTTAGCCTATATAACGTTAGCCAAAATAATCGCAATACGCTTATCTCATGTCAACACTCATGTCACGCAACATTAAAACACATTTTATGTATTGTTTTCCCTTATTGACTAATTAATTTCGGTTTAAATGCTCGGTTTTATCATTTAAATGTTCTTACCTGAAAATATCAAGCGCGAAATATTGCGACGTCGCTGCGTCATTCAGTAGACCTCCGATTACCGGCGAGCTGGATTCCTCTGGTATTGGATCTGGAGTCTTCTCTTGTATTTGTCGGTGATTAACCATGTGGATGGATGATAACAGCCTTCTGAGCCTACCAGTAGGCGCAGCAGGCCCCTGCTGGCCCTTATATATGAGCTGATAACCACTGATAACGCCCATTCAATCGAGTGATAACATTCGAAACGGGTGCTAAATATAGACCTCCTATACAGTTTATTTTTTTTTCGGGAAAGCTTTTTTAGTTCATCAGTTATCCACGGCTTCCCTTTAGAATATTTATTTCCAGATTTTGTGCTCATCAACGGAAATGATAAATCCAAAGCCTTATTAAAAGACTTTAAGAATAAACTATATGCACTATTAACGTCTTGTGCCACAAATACCTCCTCCCATATGATATTGCTAATGGCAGACTTAAAATGAACAATGTTATTTCTAGAAAAATTACGATATTTATTTGACCCAGTCTTAGGATAGGTAGACATTAGTTGACGGGATTGGATAAACTGAAAAACAGGAAAGTGATCAGAAACATCACACTTCAGGAGGCCTGAAAAGACCTCAAAATTATAAGAATTAAATAAAATATTATCAATGAGAGTAGCAGATGAGGAGGTAATTCTAGACGGTTTAGTAATAAGAGGAAAAAAATTAAAAGAATGGAGTGCATTTAGGAAATCAACTGTTTGTGGTAAATCATATTTGAGTAAATTAATATTGAAATCACCAAGTAGAAAACATAATTTACTTTCTTTAGTAATTGACTCAAGTGTTGATTGAAGTGCATCGATAAATGTGTTATGGTCTGAATCAGGTGGTCTATAGATGCATCCAATCAAAATGCTCTTACCATTGAATTGCTGACAAGATGGAATTTCAATAAATATAGACTCAGTGTTGGTAGAATCAAATTCTATACTAAGATCATCCCTAGCACCAGCATCAAAGGTATTCAAAACATATAAAGAGACACCCCCTCCTCTTTTCTTTTTTCTACAAGAATGAAAAGATGAATAATTAGGTAAGGGGAATAAAGAAAATACATCATCAGTCAGCCAAGTCTCAGAAAAAGCCAATACTGAATAGGAAAAACTTAAGGTAGACAGTAAAATTCTTAATTCGTCATGATTTTTAGACATACTACGAATATTCAAATGGAAAGTAGAGAAAAAATTATTAGAAGATTTTATAGTTTGATACAGTGAGTTTACTTGTCCTTCAGAGTAATAGTTACAAGACAGTTTTAATAATTTTAAATTAGATTGATTTACATCAGGATTAAGGAAACTATCGTAAATGCCACAACTGTCTATATTCTGCTCAAACGGATTAAAAATAAGAGAGTTCTCTTCAGAGATGGGCAAGTCGATAGAAGCCATAAAAATTTAACTGGCAAAAAAGTCGACACAGACTCACGTGAAAAAAACTGACTGCCTCCAAGTTGAAAAGGCCTCCTGGATCAAAAGGACTTATAACCAAAGTTAACTGAATATTCCATCTGTCCCAGAGAGTTGAATAATCATCATCCACATTCAACGACACCAAAAATAATAAAAGAAATAAAGTAATAAGTCCGCCCATCCGTAGTTTATATAGTAACTCAGTTCTAATCATCATTTGTATAAGTTCAATTCGTCCATTTCCTTCACCATCACAGCTCTTTCCTCTTCTGGCGTTGCACCAATCGTTCGAATATACACTTTTCCATTCCGAGACCAGGTCGCTTTAATCCTTTTTGCCTTTTTCAGTTGCCGCGCTGCATAAGCAATATTCCCGTTCTTCCTCGTTAGATGTTCATTCACAAATACTCCCGTGCCTTTTAACTTGAACCCCTGTTTCAGCAAGGCGATCTTGTCCTTTCTGTTGACAAAGCGAATTATGATAGCCGGTGGGGTAGGACTGTTTTTATTATATCGAGGGAGGGTATGACAGGCCGAGATCTGATTACTGCAAATGGGAATATCCTTACTACCGAAGAATTGGATAACCTGGAATTCCAGGGTCTCCGTCTCAGCAGTTGTATCATCAGCATTGTTTCCCGCAGCGACATTGGAATAAGCACGGTGTCGAGTTTTCAATCCAGAGATAATCAGATCATCCATACGGTAATATTGCTCTACATCATCCAGTCTCTTTTCCAGTTCCTTGATCTGATCGTCTTTCTTCTTTAGTTTATCTTCATAGCCGCTCACCTGAGCCTGTAGTAGATTCACCTGTTTCGTGAGCTGTAGGATCTCCGTTTGTTGCGTTGCAATTTTACCGACCTCTAGTTGGATTGAGGCCAGAGTTTTTTTAATATCTTCCATATTGCCAACACTCGTAAGCTTTCTCGTTTTTATAATACCAAACGGCACTTCGATAACTTTAGCTTGGTATCTCTGGAGGATCAATTCCCCAACAGAGAAAATACTGCAATCAGCTCAAACATGAGTTGAGCATAAACATATTTGTAATAAATATATTTGTAATAAATAGTAATGATTGTTGTAAAAATATACTTTTATTTAAGCATATTTATTAAAACTTTAATTAAGTATATATTTATTACCACTAGCCCCTGTTGCTTCCCCCCCAAAACCACCACAGCGCACAATGGCCAGTCTGCCCCTGCTGTTCTCCATTATTAAAGATCTTCTCAAACCACAAACTCCTTCATTTACAGAAACTACAGAAGAGTACTGTAATAATTTTCTGTTTTACACACCTAGTTTTTTAGGTCCGCCAATCAGACACATATCTTAATGGAAAAATCACAGACAAAAGCATATGAGGTGCCCATGGAAAATTTGCGTGTGCGCCCACACCCAAACGTGGCCAAGCTCATTTCAGCTTTTCACAGATTTGTTTTCACAGCACAAACGCCAGCCCAGCTGTGATACTGCCAAAACATTTTCCCTGATTAACAGGTCAACAGCTGTAAAAAGACTGCTTGTACTCTCCTTTGTCAGTTCATTAAATCCATTAAGTGTGCAACAATGATCCCACGGTAATAATCCCAAATCATTCCTGTACATGACTCTGCTTACAGCTTCCAATTTCCCAGTCTCTACACTGCTTCCCAGAAATCTCAGAGCAAGAGGTTGACAAGATCATCACAAGGATGAAACCCTGTATACCTGTGCCCTCGACCCCTTTCCTACAGCTTCAGTGAAAGCAAACATTTCTGACTAGGCCTACAGTAGCCTATCTGATTACAATTATAATCAAGTTTCCAAATACCTCTCTTTTACCCACCTAGTTTTTTAGGTCCGCCCATCAGACACTTATCTTAATGGAAAAAATCACAGACAAAAGCACATAGAAACCCACCTTTGAACAACAGGTGCCCATTCAGGGTTAAATTCAAGGTTACATTTTCACACTGACATTCCATTAAAATTGCAACAAATGTCCTGACTGTCTGACATGAACATGCACACATTTTGTAGTAATGGAATGTAGGTAAGCAACATGAGAAAGAAATACCACATTGGGTGACCGTCTGTTTTGAAATTATTACATGACTTTGGAAGTTACTGAGTACTAATTAATTAAATTATTTATTTATTTATTAGAAGAGCAATATATCCTCACAATTGAGAAACTTTACTAGGAAAAGGTATACATAAAGGACTCAGAGATGACCATACAGGTTTGTTGCTGATTTATTTTCTGTCGATAGACTAATAGATCCGGCTCTACATCTGAGATCCTGCAGTAATTCTTCTGAGATTACTAAAGAAGAACTGATAGTGCAAGTCAATTATCAGTCCATCAACCGAGAATTGACAGCGATTTTGATTACTGAGTAATTGTTTATGCTATTTCTAAATTTCAGCTTGTTCGTTGTCTCACATAAACAAGAACACATTTTGTAAAAGAGCGTAAGTAAGCAACATAAGAAAGAAAACGTGCTGTACTGTATTTTGAAGTCTATAACAATAAATTGGATTTATTTAAAAAATGAAAAATGCCATATTGGGTGACTGGCTATTTGAAATGATTTTATGACTTTTGAAGTAACTAAGTCCAAATTAATTGAATACTTTATTTATTAGAAGAGCAACATATCCTCACAATTGAGAAACTTTTAACTAGGTAGCCTAACGGTAGGCTATACATAAATGACACCAGCAGCAAGTGGTAACATACAGCGAAAAGGATACTACTACTATAGCTGTAGCAACAGAAAAGACTCAATATGGTTCTGCTGCTAAGAGAACAAGACATGGGTTAGCGCATTAGTTCTCAATCTGGGGGGCGTAGAATCACTTCAGGGGGCTCGTTGATGTTGAGTGGACCTAAATTTGCTTAAATATGATTCACATGGTGACATAAACAAACAAAAGTGCTCTCTGTACCATGGCCATTTTGAATCCTGAATCTTGTTTAATTCAATCACACTGCATTGTTAATTATTCATAAAAATTAAATCAACTTTTATCACGGTTTCGGAGAATTATGTTTTTTTGGTTTCTGAAGCGGGCCTTCACAGAAAATGTTTGAGAACCACTGGGCTAGTCAAACATTAAACCCATTTCAGTTGATAGGTCACACAGCGTTCCCCAGGCAAACCTTTGGGAAATTATCAAAACATTATTTTGTTGACTGTTATCCAGCAGTAGGTTGCATTTTCCATATAATGGTGATCTCACAAATGTTTCCTGTCTTCCAAGGGTGATCAAATGTCTATCCGGAGCAAAACCAATGTTCAAATCAAACATAAACTGTAAGGTTATGCACCTGAATCTCAGAGCAACGTGCTAAAAGCAGTGGGTGAGCTAATAGTAAACCATGTAATTTACAATTAAGAGTCACTTTGAGTATGGGAAGATCATTTCAAGTAAGAAATTAGTCTTACGTGTTTGGTACATCCATTTCTGTAACAGCACATTACTTTTAGACAAACATTTTGCCTTGGACCCAATCTGCCTGACTCAACATAGCATATTGTTGTTTAGTTGAATATTTTTTATTATTAAGTTTGTACGAAAGCCAGATGTGTATTCCAAGATCGTCGGGGGGGAATTCGAATTCGCCGTTAGCGACAGACATCGTTTCGTTTGGTCCAGCAGGGACAATTAAGCTTTTAAAACTTCTCCCTTGTGATTTGTGTGCGTGAGTGAATCAGAACTACACCCAGTCACTG